TGCTGAAAAATGAATCTCATGTTGGTCTTAAATTATATTAAACTGCTTTCATGCCTGAGGATAAAAAAAGGACTAAGCTTTTAGAAAAATTATTATTGTAGTTTTATTAAAATGTCCCAGCATCTTGTGCTTAGGCCAAGCTGGCCAGTTTTCAATCACATAGATTTTTTTGGCCTTGTATTTTTTTAATTGAATTGATCAGTTAAAATTATAACTTAAAAATCCCATTTAAACATCATTTTGAAAGTGAATATTGAATGATAACATTCTTTACAAGAAATATTTATATTCTAAAGGTAGTGAATAAAAGATGCTGGATAGCTTTACCTTTCTGGAGTGACAGAAGTAATGATGAAGTGGGTTTTTCCATCATTGTAATTTCGGTCTGGTGATTGAATTTTGGTTCCACTTACATTTAAAACAACTGCACCTCTGTCCATAGAGATGGATAAAACATCTGACTGGAATACAGACAATTAACATTTTCATAAGCAAGGGTAACACAGAAAATTTAACAGTTCTGTGCATTTTACTGTTGCATTTATTTTCCTTCCTGCTGTTTTCCCCATTTTTTTTGCTTGTTTTGCCCGAGGTCACCTGCTTGGTGGACGAGGGGAAAGCTGTGGATGTTGTCTACCTGGACTTCAGTAAGGCCTTTGACGCCATCTCACACAGCATCCTCCTGGAGAAGCTGGTTGGGCATGGCTTGAACAGGCATACCCTTTGCTGAGTTAAAAACTGACTAGATGGCCAAGCAGAGAGTTGTGGTGAATGGAGCTAAATCCAGTTGGCGACCAGTCACAAGCGGTGTTCCCCAAGGCTCTGTTTTGGGGCCAGTCCTGTTTAACATCTTTATCAATGATCTGGATGAGGGGATTGAGTGCTCCCTCAGCAAGTTTGCAGATGACACTGGGAGGGAGTGTTGATCTGCCTGAGGGTAGGAAGGCTCTGCAGAGGGACCTGGATAGGCTGAATCAATGGGCTGAGGCCAACTGTATGAGCTTCAAGTGCCAAGTCCTGCACTTCCCCATGCAGGGCTACAGGCTTGGGTATGAGTGGCTGGAAATCTGCCATGCAGAAAA